CCATGAATTTGATAGTGTCAGATACTTTACATACATGGGGTCATGTAATATTTGTCTTTCCTGATTGGTTTATTTCATTTAGCATAATGTCTTTCAGGTTTCCTGTGTTAAACATTGCAAGATTTCCTTCTTTGGGGCTGAATAATATTCTGTTGTATGTATCTGCCGTTTTTAAAATACATTCATCCATTGATGACCATTCAGGTTTTTTTCCATATTTTGGTGATTGTGAACAGTGCTGCAATTAACATCAGAGTGCTAATATGTCCTTGAGATTATGATTTCAGTTCTTTTGGAATAAATAACCAGAAGTGGAATGCATATATACATATAAGCATATATCACATGCTAGTTCTAATTGTAATATTTTGGGGAACTTCCATACTAGTTTTTGTAGCAACTGCACTATTTTGCATTCTCACCAACAGTATGCAAAAGCTCTAGTTTCTCTAGAATCTCATCAATATTTGTTGGGTTTCATTTTGGGGGAGGGGAGCAGGAAGCTGGGGCCTATTATAACTCTACTCACTTTCTCTCTGATGATTAAGCTTAACCACTCCCACCCCCAGCTTCTAGCATTGGGAATCACATTCCCATTAAATCATGTTATTGAATTTTACTTCATCATGCCTACAGTCATCTTCAGCATACATGGAACACCATAACAAAAATTTTCAAGGATACTGGTAATCCACTTGCCAATGCACTTCTTTTTTTTTTAATTATTTTATTTAGCTTCATTTATTTATTTATTTAATTTAATCAGAGAGGGACAGAGTGAGAGAGAGAAAGAGAGAGAGAAAGTGAGAAAGCAAGCCACCAGGTCTGAGATTCAAACCGTGGTCGGTCATGTGCAACTCCAGCGTCTCTAACCACCATACCATCTGCTGGCCCCACCAATGCACTTCTTAATTCCTAGGTGAAGACCTTCCTGGGGGTACAGACTTACCTAGGAAGTATCTGAGAAGTTTGCATGTAATAAATGGATCCATCCAACAACCATTGCCCTGAGTCCTTAAAGCTACTTTTTTAAAGATCAGGCTTCATATCTGCCCAATTGCACAGCCTTAAGCCAGCACAATAAATCCTGAATTCTAGGCAAGGATATAAACGGGGGTTGATATAATCTTTTACTTTATCCTTTTTAGTTTAATGTCCTTAGAAGATATTATCTATGTTCTCTTGTTTCTTTCCTTTTTTTTAAAGAGAGAAATCTTTGTTTTAGGGTGCATGCGTTCACCAGAGAGACAGAGAGAAAGCAAGAAATCACCCCTCTCAAGGGGGTTGGCCACATCACAATACCTTCTCCTCCATTCTCTTCTTGGGATTTTGGGCACGCACACACACACGCCCGGATGAATTCTTTAAGCCACCAGGTCCAGGACTTGACTACATAGGAGTCCAGCGACGTAACCACTATGTCATCTGCTGATCCCTCTCCTGTTTCTTAATAACAGTTGGTAAGATCCTGCCAACTCTCCATGTACAATCTAGCTCATATGAGACTACTACTTCTTATTATTCACCAGTGTCCTTACCTTAGCATGAGATCTGACAAGAGGGTACAGTTCACTAATAATACATTTCTGCAGACCTTACAAGAGGCTTCTGTCTTAATCTTCAGCCACACATTCCCTACGTATACGGGAGAGACGGGATTTCCTCTGGGTTATCATACAGGCTTTCTGAATTTCTACATGGGCCTTGAATTATTCTCTCAAGGCTTTCAGTTTATCCTTTTCTCAATGAGCTCTCTCTAGCATAAGAAGTACCCATCCTATACTTCAACTTTTGTCATGAAAGTAATAACTGCCTCAACTATTGGATCTCCCTGTGCTTGTTCCCCATCTAGACCCCATTCTATGCCACCACTGGTGATAATTTAAATAATTGTGATGCCATCATCTGAGGCATATTGCTATTGTCTTTTTTTTTCTTGTAAGTAGGCTATCCTTACTCTCTCCAAATAGATGAGTAAGCCAAGCCTAGGGTCCCATTATTTAGATTTATTTTTATTTATTCTTCTCATTTATTATATGCATTCAATCATTGCACATCACCACAGCTTGTAAAATTAATTACTCAACATGAATACACTTCACACCAGTCCAGTTGAAGATATCATACATGTTATCAACAGACAATCTTCCATTTCAAAGATCTACAAATAGAACTACCATATGATTCAGCAATTCCACTTGTGGGTAACTACTTAAAGAATAGGACAATGCTCAACTGGAAAAGTGCCTGCACATTTATGTTTATTATGGCATTATTCACAATAGCTAGGACATGGAACCAATCCAAACATCTATGAACAGATGAATGGATTAAAAAAAGTGTGGCACATATACTTACTCTATAGACTACTACTCAACCACTAAAAAAATAAGACCATGGCATTTGATAGAAAGTTGATGAATATGGAAGATTTATTGCTGAGTAAAGAGAGCCAAGCCTATGAAGGAGAGACATTGTATGTCTCTACTTGACATAAACTGGCTGTCAACACTCTACGGCAGAAACTGAAAGATTGGAAGGTAAAGAAGCATGGAGAATGGTTACTGATACTGGAGACAGTGCAGGAAGTGGATGGGAGATGGGGGAAAGTGAGAGGAAAGAAATCAAGGAGAAAAATAGAGAGAAAAGACATTTAGGGGTCTAGGATCACATTTTAAGGTCAGTCTCCTAGGACCATTCCTGGTCGCAATTACTGCTTTGATCAAGACCCAGGAGGAACATGTTGGGGCAAACTATTTGGGAAGTATTTAGTATAAGGATTATTTCCAAAAGAGAAGATGTTGTTTATGAAAATCAAAAAGAAAAAGTGAAACACCTTAAACCTAGTTACAAAAGAAAGCCATTATTACCTGTAAGCTAAAGGAAAAAGAGGAGAGGATGATTCCCAAAATTCAGTTTTTGTGTACAGAGGATGGTTGCCCACGTGGAGCTGTGTTATTAGGTAGAGAAATGAAGCCACTGACAAGAGACCAAGAAGCTGTTGAAAACAAACAAACAAACAAAAACAGGGGAGAAAATGCCCAAACCTCTTTCAGAAGCCAAATTTTCTATCTCTCCGTTTTACTCCCCAAATCTTCATTCTTATATAATCATCTGCTTCACTCCTGAGTCATCAGAATTCTTAAAATCTTGTATTTCCCCCTATATCACCATTTCCCCCTTCATTGCCTCCCTCTCCCCCATTCCTTCTCCAAGCTAAGGAGAACTGAACTGTCTTGTGAAAATTTGGTCATTTACATTCCATTGTAAACATGCATTTGTCTGTATTATATTGTTGCCAGGTTTTAGTGATCAGAATGGTTCCCAGTCTAGTGTCACGTGTAATTTGCTGTGTAGAAATCCCAGAATATATAGGCAGACTGTGAAAACTTAGAAATGATAGAATTATAAGACTTTCTTCCTTTATGGTTAGTTTCTTAAGAACATTTGCCATGTACAATGCTTTTACTTAGTAAAGAAAAACCGAAGCCATATTAAAACCATGTTTCATTCTAAAATGTTGTCAAATATTTATACAGAACAAATATTTACTCTGCATCTTTTGGTCATAGAATTGAGAGAATAACCTTAATTGCTATTCGGAATTTTAAAAATTATGCATGTCTTTATGTATGTATTTCAGGGTGTGTGTGTGTGTGTGTAATGTTCCTACTTGAGTTATAACTCTTCCCTTTAATTCTTTCTCTGGACACTTTCTAGTTAGCCCTCCAGACCTATTCTTCCCCTTCTCTTCCCTGTTCTTCCCCTTGAAGGTGTATGAATTATGTCAGCTGACTCCTGCTTCTGCTTCCTTTTATGTTCTTTCCATAGAAAACCCAAGCAGGATACTGGAGAAAGAGAAGGAGTATGGAGTCAGGAGTGTATTTCTCTACATAGTTGGTCACTGATCGTCTCACTCATCTTCTTTACATTCTCCTTCTGGGCTCCCAGACTTCTCCTTCCCATGTTCATTTGAGTTTAGAAGTAGAGATTGTTTGGTAGTGGCCTTCAGTACCTGAACTGACTCTTCAGTTTCCCTAAACTCTGCCCACACCTTATACTAAGCGCCTTTGTAAGTAAACTCTTCTTAAAGTAGGTCACTCTGAGTGTGCATCTATTTTTCACTGAGACTGAACGATATGCCACTATTCATTATTGTAGGTCCCTGACATATATGTGGTCAATGCTATAACTCTGGTTTATTGGGGAAGAGGCTTGTTATAGTTCACTTGACCAAGTTTATTCTTTTTAAAAAAAAAATATTTATTTAATATCATTTATTACTACTATCTTTTTTAAAGTTTTCTCTAGGGCACATGTGCTCACCAGAGAGAGACAGAGAGAGAGGGAAAGTGAGAAAGCTAGCTACCAGGTGTAGGACTCAAACCACAGTCAGCCATGTAACTATCATACCACCTGTTGCCCCCAACCAAGTTTGTTTTTACTAAGGTTTCATCATTGTCCCACAGAGAGTTTTTTCCCCATAAGAAAAAACTTTACTTTGCATAGAGAAGATTTTTGTTTGTTTATAAGTAGTTCAGTTGTTTATTAGGATTATGAAAAGAATGTAGGTAAGAGTAGACAATAAAAGGCAGAGTCAACCCCTATATTGAAATAGAAAGTCATTTATCCTACAAATTTTTCAAGAAAAATAATTCTACAATGTTTCTTCACATCTGTATGCTAACTACTGTCCTATAACAGTATTTTATTCAAAGCAAATTACTTGGGTGAAAGTTAAGCATAGTTTATGTTTGGCTGTTGGATTTTAACTATAATGGACTTAATTTTTTTAATGTAATATGAAAACACATAAAAATAAAATGTCTTCTTTAAAATATGTCACTAACAAAATTGTATTTCAATTTAACACTAATTGCCTAACAATTAGATATTTACATAGGGAATATTTTATTGTCATAACAACTTATAATGTGTAAAAAACAAAAAACTAAATCAATAAAAAGATAAAATACCATTTTCATATTATGTGACCTCTGTATTACTCTATTAGCAGTAGGCAAAATTGCTAGGCATCAGACAAATACTCCTGGACTTTCTAAGAATGAGGCCTCTGGGATTCGATAATTTTCAGTGTTGGGTCCATGTGATGTTTCCTTCTGATCTCCTCTATTTCATCATCATCATGGATAAATGAAGCCAGTGCTGGAATCTGAGAAAAATAATTCCTAGCCAGGATATGTTTGTGTTTAATCTTGTGAATAAACAAGCGTCCATATCCCTGCAAAGAAAAGAAAGTCGAATTCTGTAAAATGCCAAGGATATATTTTACCAAGTGAAAACACCGTCACGCCTCATGCCTTTGCTTATCAGTTCTTTCAGCTCAGAATATATAGTTTTTCCTCACTTTGTCTATCACCTTTTAGGATCCAGATTCTATGATGTTTTACGTTGGGAGCCCTCCCTGATTCTCCCTCTGAACTCTCTAACTTCAAACCCCTGGGTCGCCAGCCCCATATTCGCTCTCTCTCTTCCATTTGCACATAGAGGCCTGGTCGTGCACAAAATGTTTCACGTCCAGCTTTTCCGGCCTTTGCTGTGGCAGGGGGTGGCCATGAGACATGTGTCTGGACAATAGCCTTTGACCATAGCTGGGCTGTCAACATAATGCCGGAGATAGAGTAACTATCTAATCAAGTCCACAAGCGTGAGAGTGAAAGTCAAACGTTAAATATGACCGAAGGACAAGTCAGAGGGCCTGAGCTTCCGAGAGCAGTTTGAAGCCACCATATTAGCTTTGGACTGTCAAACTCAGTTCTTGTTTCATTTAAGTCATTATAAATTGCTTATTTTGTTATCTGCAGCTGAACTCAAATGCAGTTTAAATAAGAAGGAATTGTGTTCAGTATATTTTCTTGTTTTTCTCCAAGCACTTAGCCTGGTATTTGGCACATTCAAAAGTAAATTCTGGTTAATGTAATAAATACGTCAAGTCCACAAGCGTCAGAGTGAAAGCCAAATGTTAAATATGACCGAAGGAAAAGTCAGAGGGCCTGAGCTTCCGAGAGCAGTTTGAAGCCACCATATTAGCTTTGGACTGTCAAACTCAGTTCTTGTTTCATTTAAGTCATTATAAATTGCTTATTTTGTTATCTGCAGCTGAACTCAAATGCAGTTTAAATAAGAAGGAATTGTGTTCAGTATATTTTCTTGTTTTTCTCCAAGCACTTAGCCTGGTATTTGGCACATTCAAAAGTAAATTCTGGTTAATGTAATAAATACCATCTAGTCTCTTCTTTAATCTTGGCTGGCCCTCTTTTCCACTGAGTCATAAATACTATCTGTACTTTTTCCTAAAATTTTTTTTTTGGAGAGATTTTTTGTTTGTTTGTTTTTTGTTTTCTGTAAGGTGTGTGCACTCAACAAAAAGAGACAGAGAGAAAGAAAGAGAGAAATCACCCCTCAGAGGGGATGGCAACGCCACAATCCCTTCTCCTCCATTCTCCTCTTGGGCACACACGAACACACGCCCAGCGTGAGTTTAAGCCGCCAATTCTGGGACTCGAACCACGGTCAACTACATGGGAGTTCAGTGACATAGCCCTTACACTAACTGCTGGTCCCCCTAAAATTTGTTTTCTGAGAGTAAGACATTCCCTTACAAGGGATCCCTTCAGAGGTTAAAAATGTAAGGTAAAAGAAAAAAACGGGGAGGGGGGGAGAGGCAAAGAATTGAATATTAACTATTAAGTAGGAGTATCCTGTCTTAATCTAAAGTACCTTCTTTACGGACAGATTTACTAGGTAAAAATATTCATCCTGTGTGCTAATTTAACTTCATTTCACTGCTTCTCAGCCCACATTTCATTCAAAGAAAACTAACACATTTACGTTATGCTATATTAACTTACATACATGCAAAACTTTACAGGTTTTCCAAATTCTTTATAGAACTAAAAATTATTAAAGCTGAGATGAGCATACATACAAAGGAATAAGTAATTTTTCAAACATAATATAATATTGAAAGATACCCAATGTTTATTGTTAAGTACAGCAAACAAACCAGACTGGAAAGTAATTTAACATAAACTAAATGCCATAAAAAAGCATATATACTTATTTACATATAAAAATTTCTAGAAGTTTTGGATTGATATCAGGAGACTTTTATTTTCTCCCTTTTTTTTTTTGCTATAGAGTACGTGTGCTCGCCAGAGAGACAGACAGCGAGAAATCACCCCCAAGGGGGCTAGCACACCACAATCCCTTCTCCTCCATTCTCTTCTTGGGCTTTTGGGCATGCATGCACACATGCCCAGTATGAGTTTTTGTTTTTTTTTTTTTTTGTATAGGTTTTTGCTATAGGGCGCGTGCGCTCGCCAGACAGACAGAGAGAGACACAGAGACAGAAAGCGAGAAATCACCCCCCAGGGGGGATGGTCACACCGCAATCCCTTCCCCTCCATTCTCCTCTCGGGATCTTGGGCACGCACGCACATGCGCCCGGCGTGAGTTTTAAGCCACCGGGTCCGGGACACGAACCACAGTCGACTACGTGGGAGTCCAACGACATAGCCATTATGCTAACTGCTGGTTCCCCCCAGTATGAGTTTTAAGCTGCTGGGTCCAGGACTCAACCACAGTAAACTTCATGGGAGTCCAGCGTCATAATCATTACATCATCTGCTGGTCTCTATTTTCTACCTTATACCTTTTAATTCTGTTCAGATTTTTTTTTTTGAGAGTTTTTTTTTTTTCACTATAGGGCGCGTGCGCTCGCCAGACAGACAGAGCGAGACATAGAGACAGAAAGCGAGCAATCACCCCCCAGGGGGCATGGCCACGCCGCAATCCCTTCTCCTCCATTCTCTTCTTGGGCTTTTGGGCATGCATGCACACATGCCCAGTATGAGTTTTAAGCTGCTGGGTCCAGGACTCGAACCACGATCGACTACATGGGAGTCCAGTGACATAGCCATTACACTAACTGCTGGTTCCCTGTTCAGATTTTTTTTTTTGAGAGTTTTTTTTTTTTCACTATAGGGCGCGTGCGCTCGCCAGACAGACAGAGCGAGACATAGAGACAGAAAGCGAGCAATCACCCCCCAGGGGGCATGGCCACGCCGCAATCCCTTCTCCTCCATTCTCTTCTTGGGCTTTTGGGCATGCATGCACACATGCCCAGTATGAGTTTTAAGCTGCTGGGTCCAGGACTCGAACCACGATCGACTACATGGGAGTCCAGTGACATAGCCATTACACTAACTGCTGGTTCCCTGTTCAGATTTTTTTAAACCAACATTGTAGTGTTTTTATTACAATTAAAATAAAATGCACCCATAAAAATTTAAATACTTTCATATACATTTTTACTACTTAAGTTGATTCATGCCAAGCCCTCTGTTGAGAGCTATAATAATGGTTTAGTAGTTCTCAAAGCTTCCCTATGATGAGATCTTATCATCTCCTTTTTATAGATGAGGAAACTATGACATGAAGATATTACCAAACTTGCCCAGTTTCTCCCAACTCGTAAATGATAGAGCCAGAATTCAAAGCCAGGGCCACTCTTACCCTCTTTACTGAGTCCACAGTTGTAGCTAAACTTTGTACAAATTAATAAAGAAGGCAAGTCTTAATGCCCTGCAGGTTGTTAGTGACAGAATGGGAAGAACTGGGTCAGGACGGCTGATTTTAAGTTCACGATTGCTCCTACTTTGCCCAATTCACACTCGATGAGAAATCAATCTGCCTCACAGTTCAGAGAACAGAAGCCTTTTCTAATCGTTTCCTGTAACTTGTGTCATGACTGCAGGCAGACAAGATTATTTTAACTTTCAAGTGTTTTTTGCTTCCTGAGAGACCAAATATCTCTGTGCATTAAGGAAAATCTAGAGCTGCTTTAACTTGCTGAAAGACATGAACTCTTCTTTAACTAGACTGCGCATTAACACTTAAAAGATTACACCATCCCCAAACCAGAAAAGAGGCAAAAATTTTTTGAAGTTTTCTGGTTGAGAACCTTAGCTCTGTTTAGAGAAATTCAATAAGATTGGCATCCTTAAATTAGAAATGCATCTGAATAGAACATTTAATTTGATACTGCAGTAATGTGGTTGAATACACAAAGGGAGTTGTGTGGATTAATAGAAGAAGCACTGGAATATCAGCTTTGGGAATGAACCTCAATCTGATTGTGGGCCCTAGATGAAATGATATTGCTAGTATTGACTATGTTTCCAGTGATTAAATATTTATGAGGCAGCTTAGTTTACTAAATAGAGCATTTAACACAGCTTCAATTTCTTGCTGTCCTTTCTTTCAGTCTCTAGAGTAAAATTTTTCTTAGCCTGGTGCTTAAAGCTCTGAAAAGGTATTTTTAAAAGCTAAAAATGTAAGTAGTTCCTTTTCTTCATACACCCTCTTCCCCAGAAAGGCAGGAAATAACACAATTCATAATACTATTATGATTAATGTCATTTCCTCGTTTTCCCTTAGCTGTCATCTTGCATGGAATTAAAGGTGTAGCAATTTAATCATCAGAAGGCAGAGAATCAATATCAGCTCTTGGGATCCTTGGCTAGCTTGCTGTAAATGGAACTCTCTGGGAACTCATCAGGAGCCCCTCAGTTCTGTTCCTTGAAATGTTTTACAGATTGCATCTTGTAAATTGTTGAAATTAAATGGTATTTAATTTTTGCAGTGCTTTCTCCATTCCTAATTAGTTGGGAGCAAATAAAAAAACGTAGACTCGGAACTGTACTCCAAAGATATGGTTGCCTTTAAGAGCACAAAATCTTGAACAAAATTTAGTTGAGTATTGAGTGTGCTTTTAGATAGATTCATAATGATTAATCCAAGAAAGGCAGATTCTGGTTCCATAATACCTGTCTGATGGTAATATTTATGCATTCAACGAATACTTATTAAACCTCTAATCTGTGATGGGTATCATCGTAGGTGTTAAGAGATATAAATGCAAATTAGCTAAGCAAAATTCTTGCTCTGTGGCATTTACTGTGGAATTAATGTGCTTGAACTTGCTATTAGGAGAGAGTAGTATTACATTTAGATACTTATGACGTGTTCAAATCTCTTATCCTTTACGTGCCTTAGCTTTCTAATTTTAGTATCTGCCATACTTATACCCTCCATGTATTTCGTTCCTGGGAATCCATGAATTCTGTTTCTTTTGTTTGTTTGTTTTTAAAGAATTACTTATTTAATTTTATTAATTCATTCATTTTTTTCTTAATTTAACCAGAGAGAGAGACTGGGGTGGGGGTAGGGAGAGAGTGTGAAAGCTAGCCACCAGGTCCAGGACTTGAACAATTATTGGCCATGTGGGAGTGTCCAGCCCCTTAACCGCCATGCCACCTGCTGGTCCCAACCTGTGCATGGACTGTATTAATAGGTACTCAAGTTATCTCCACTAATTTCAGTATTTAAATTAATTCCAAATAAAATTAACTTTCTTACCTCTTCAATACTTAGTAGCTTAAGATGAGCGGCCCCTTCATCTCTGGTCAGAAGAATGCAGTTCCAGGGGGACCACTCCATGGACTTATCCCATCTGACCAAGACCAGATCGTTGAGGTTGTTGTTGGCACTGAGTGCTGACTGGGCTGCCCAGATGTTCTCTACCAGGTATTGAATGTCTTGAAGCTTCATGTAAAAATAAGTTTGAAAAATAATGTTGTCTTCTAAACATAAAACAATGTTAAAGATCATGACAGTACTTTCATAAAATAACTAAATTATATTTTTCATATATGTATGTGTGTTTGTGTGTGTGTGTATATCACTGGACTCCCACCTTTTCAACCACTGTTGGAGTCCCAGACCCAGTGACTTAAAACTCACACTGGGCACATGTGCATGCGTGCCCAAAATCCCAAGAGGAGAATGGAAGAGAAGGGATTATGTCATGGCCGTTCCCACTGAGAGATGATTTCTCACTTTCTGCCTCTGTCTCTCCATCTCATACACATGTACCATACAACAAAAATCTCTCCAAAAAAAAAAAACTCTGTTGTTGTAATGAAAAAAGAGGGGGAAAAAGGAATTAAATAATTACTTATGACTATTTTAAAAATTTAAACTAAATTATCTACAACTCTTAGACTGACTTTTTGGTATGAGACCTGCATATATAAATTTAGAATTGCCAGAGAGGGTCAAGCATAACAAAAGAACCATCATTTATCTTTCTTTAGATTTACTTATTTATTATGAATGTTTTTCTATGTGACCAGAGGGAGACAGAGAAACAGAGAGAGAGAGAGAAAGTGTGAAAGCAAGCTGTCTAGTCTGGGACTTGAACTGTGGTTGGCCATGTGGTCCAGTGCCTTTAACCACCAACACCATCTGCCGGCCCCAGAACCATCATTTTAAAAGATGTGTGTGAGAAAGTCAAAATCTTTTCTGTAAAATCAGTAGATAAAATGTGAACAATTTATCAAAGTTTAAAAAAAAGAGAATGTCATCAAGTTCAACTAATACAATCTAGCTTTTACTTTAATGCTCGAAAAAATGAAAGTAAAACAACTGCTAAAACGTGTATATGGAATTTTCATATTTAATATTTCATATATACTGCTTGTAACATCATGTCAGTGTTCAAAAAATCTTGGATTTTGAAGTATTTTGGATTTCAGATTTTTGGATTAGGGATGCTCAACATGAATAAACTCATATAATAATTTTTTTTTAATTTTGTGAAGGGAATTTTAACTATTGATTTTAACTACTATTTTTCCTATACTAGTTGTTTAACATTCTTATAGCACTTCATCTGAATCTTTAGAAGTTAGTAATTTAGATAACCAAAAATTAATGAGAATTTCAAAAATCTAGAGAAAAAACTTTTTAGACTCTTGTGAACAAGACTTCTTTATACTTTTCTCTACTCAGGGATTATTGCATATGAACAGAATTATTCTGTTTTGATATGGTAATCATATGTAAATTGGAAGTGGAAAAATGGAAATAGTTCATGTCAATAATGAAAACAATATGGTTCCTTTTTAAAATTATAATTTTCCAAATTAATGTATTTAATATTCTCTCTAAAACTATGAGCCTTCTAAAGAATTCAAGATCTTAACCGGTAAAACTGTTCGTATCATTTTGTAAAAAAAAAAATGCATATTTGACGACTGCAGCAAGCTGTATGGGCACAGCTGGGTACTACTTTATAGGTGTTCATTCTACTCACTAGGGTTCATGCCTAAAGTCAGACTTGGGTTCATGTATAGGTATGTGTCAGCTGTGCTAGCTATTGGATATATTTAGACTAATTAAGTTCATTGGCAGAACAATTGAATGGGGGGGGGAAGGTATGGAGGGCAACCATGGACCAGGGACAATGGGAGAGGAGGATGGGACATGGCAGAGGGTGGGGGATGGGGAATCAAGGATGGCAAAACAAAAGGCAAGGAAGGTATGCAGGACATAAGAGTTAGAAAATTATTTGCTGAGAACATGTATGTTGATGTGCTTGATTGAGCCAATGCACAGTGTATTTTGGATGGAAAATTCATTTGTGTGTTGTGATGGTGTATAGTGAATTAATGTAGAAAATGAATAAATTTAAAAAAAAAAGAAGAAGCAGAAAAGAAAAAAAAAAGAATTCAAGATCTTTGGTTTCAGAAACAACTTGCTTACGTATTTCCCATCAGCAATACTGTTTTCTCACTTGATTAACAGAATGTCCATACATTTAACGTGGGTAACAGTGCCATGCTGCACTTCTGCACCTATGAATACCCCAATGGTGTGCCCAGGCCCCACTGCACCCACCCTGGCACAGCCCTATAGGCTGCTCAGCTGCAGGAAGCCCTGTGTTCTGCTACCAGAATTTCTGGCTCTTTCGATTCTGTTCTAGCCCCACCGATGTCTGAAAATAAGTTATACAAGTCCACTTTCTGAGAAGACCCTCAGATAATAGTATTTGTCAAAAATTTCTGAAAAATAAGATCTTTTTTCTTTCCCTTGGGAGGAAAATAGAATAAATAATACAGGGAGACTATGAACACCCAACTCAAAAGATGACATATACAACAGCACCAGAGAAGAGTATTCTGATAAGTTGTACATGAAATCTATATGTGCTTTTTTGTTATATTATTGTTTCTATTAAAGAATATTTAAAAACATGCCCCTCAGTTTGTCTTACATGCAAAAAAATTGGGGATTGGATATTATTATTGCTGATAGTTTGTGCTCTAGGGAAAATAAGAAAAGGGACAGAAACCAATTTCTTCTTCTTTTTCCTTCTTTTAAAAATATTTTCTTCTTGGGGCTGGCAGGAGGCTTGATGGTTAAGGGTGCTGGACTCCCACTTGGCTGACTATGGTTCGGCCCTGGCAGCTTGTTCTCTCTCTCTTTCTCTCTCCCTCTCTGGCCAAACTGAAATAAATAAATGAATGAGTAAATAAAGTTAAATAAAATAATTAAAAAATATTTTCTTTTCTTAATAATTATTATTTTATTTTTTAAACATTCAATCGCTATACATCATTTGACTTTTAAAGAGAATATACCCGGTACCAGCAGGTGGCGTGGTGGTTAAGGTGCTGGACACTCCCATATGGCCAACCACGGTTTGGGTCCCAGACCTAGAGGCTTCCTTTCTCCTTTTCCCTCTTGCTCTCTCTCTCTCTCTGGTCAAATTAAAATAAATGAATGAATAAATAAAATTAAATAAATAATAATTTTAAAAAAAGAATATACTCAACATGAAATACATGAAACACACCTCAGACCTGTCCAGTTGAGAACAGTATACATGTTATCATCAACAGGCAATAAACCATTTCTGTGTCCCACGAATGTCTTTCTATTTTTTCTCCCTAATTTCCTTCCCTGTACTCTTCCCTTCTTCCACCCTTCCTCCACATTGTCTCCAGTGTCCACAACTATTTTCACTGCTTTTATGTCCTCCAATCTTTTAATTTCTACTATAGAATGCGGACAATTGATATGTATTAAGTGGAGACACACACTATCTTTCTTTCACAGCCTGGCTTGCTTCACTCAGCAATAAATCTTCCATATTCGACCACTTTCTATCAAATGGAGACTGTTTTTTTCTCACAACTTCCCTTCCTCTCTTCAAAGTAGTTACTAGGTCATTTTTTGCTACCATTAGCCTTCTCTTTGAAAAATCCAAACTTCCTATATATTTTTAAACTAAAGGGACATATTGACAGCTAAGGGCAGAAAAAAACAGTGGAAATACTATTTGAGAGTATCATTTAGAATAAATTTTCCCCCAATAATGAAATCATGACAGATGTGTTGAAATGTATATACCAATTGTTTTTAAGAATCAAGAAAGGTGGGGAACCAGTAGTTAGCGTAATGGCTATGTCGCTGGACTCCCACGTAGTCGACCGCGGTTCGTGTCCCGGACCCGGTGGCTTAAAACTCACACCGGGCGCGTGTGCGTGCGTGCCCAAGATCCTGAGAGGAGAATGGAGGAGAAGGGATTGCGGCGTGACCATCCCCCCTGGGGGGTGCTTTCTCGCTTTCTGTCTCTATGTCTCTCTCTGTCTGTCTGGCGAACGCACACGCTCTACAGTGAAAATCTCTCCAAAAAAAAAAAAAAGAATCAAGAAAGGTGTAGTGAAAGAAGATGTGAGGGGACCGCCCCTATGCTCAGCATCCATCTAGCATCACCTTTATTTCTGATCAGGAGGCTTCTTTATCTATTCCTATCTCAGGGTCTCCAAATACCAGTAGGAGTAGAACACCAGTCCCCATGACAGTCGCACACGCTCAGGATTTACTGAGACAACACAATAAACCATCGGTGTCTGCCAGGTCTCCATTTCCTAGAACCTCTGAATGAGCTAAAGAGGTCATCTATTATTTCCCACACTCATCTTTGCAGCTTCAGGTTTCCAACAATTTAATTACATCCCGACTTCCTTTTTCTTCCTAGCTCTTTCATTGTGCCTTCTGGAAATGTCTTTCATTAACCATCAAAACTCCCTAAATTTGCGATATAACTTCCCTACATATTTGTCTAATCTAAAGCATAGCTGTCCCTGAGGACATGATTTATCCAGCAATTACTTCCAGTCCAGCTGGAAGTAATTCCACAGGATATTATGCGTTGTTGCTGTTATTGTTTGGGGTGTTTTGTTTTGTTTGTATAAGTTTGGCTATAGAGTGTGTGTGCTTGCCAGAGAGAGACAGAAAGGGAGAGCGAAAGAGAGAGGGAAAAATAAGAAATAGCCTCTAAGAGGGGATGGCCATGCTGCAATCTTTTCTTCTCCACTCTCACCTCGGGATTTTGGACATTCACACACAAGTGCTCAGAGTGTTTTCCTAGCTACCAGGTCTGGTGCTTGAACCATGCAGTTGGCCATAGGAGATCCAGTCGCCTTACCCACCACACCACCACGCTGACCTGCATGCTGTTATTTAAACCTCGCCTTCCTTGCTCCCTTTGCTCCCATCCTTGCTTCTGCATCATCACTCTTCCATTCTCATAACCCTCTCCCATCGTTCTCACAGCTTACATGGTACTCTTT